CAAAAAAAGGGTGGACAACGAGTGAGTGACTCACCCTGCTCTGCCATTTTGAGATCCCATCTGGAACACTATATCCAGGCCTGAAGAAAGCCAGCACAAGAAGACATAGGGTTATTGGAATGGGTCCAGAGGAAGGCCACAAAGATGATCAGAGGGTTGGAGCATTTCTCTTATGAAGAGAGGATGAGGGAACTGGGCTTGTTCAGCCTGGAGAAGAGAAGGATCTGGGGAGACCTCACTGTGGCCTTCCAGTACTTGAATGGAACTTATAAGCAGGAGGGAGAACAATTTTTCAAATGGCCAGACAGCAATAGGAGAAATGGTTTTAAACTAAAACAGAGGAAATTTAGATTAGATCTTAGGAGCAAATTTTTTACTCAGAGGGTAGTGAGGCACTAGAACAGATTGTCCAGATAAGCTTAGATGCTCCATCCTTGAAGGTATTCAAGATCAGGTTGAATGGTGCTCTGGGCAACCTGAGTGGCAACCCTCCTCCTCCTCATGTCAGGGAGCTTGAAACTGGATGGTCTTTAAGGCCTTTTCCAACTCCAGCCATTCTATGATATAATTCTATGATTTTATGTCAGTAGCCATGCTTCAGGAAGATTGTAAAAAAAAGCATTTACCAGGAAAGTAACAGATTATATGTAATAACTTTGTCACTGATAAAAAAAATTTCTCCAACACATAGCTTACAAACATTATAGAAGATATACATATCACTAGAAATTATATTTCCTAAAGGACAGTTTCTCAGTAACCCATGGGAAACTCAAACAAAAGTCACAGTTTTTTTCAAGGATCTTCACAGATATCAAGAATTTCATAAACAATGAGTCCAAATTTCAAATATATAAACACAACACTTTTTATGAATATGAATTCCCCAGTTGTATTTCCTATCCCATTCCTGATTTAGTTCCCCTTTTGTGCCATTCTTCCTTTACCATGTGAACTGGCATAACATTATATGATATGTTAATGGATAAGAGTACCCCTTCTTTCCAAGAAGCTCTATAAAACCGCAGGACCCTGTTGAGCTCTGTCCAATCCTTTGCATAAAATTTAGCTGCAAATAGGAAACAGAGTTGGAAAGTGAAGATTACATTTAAGATTTATAGCAGTTACAAGCTCCTCTGTTGCAACAGTTACTAAAGTTATGAAAATGCTGTAAATATCACCTGTCAGTGATGTAATCAAGCTATTAGCTAGTAAATTCGTAATAGTAATAATAGTTTTGTCAGAAATCATACTTAATTGTACACTGAAAACCGAGTTCAGTTCTCTTAAATTAAAATGTATGTCACTCTAATTAGAAATATATAATGCCCTTGGTAGGTATTCTCAAGCTGAATCTGTTCAGCACCTTTCCCTGCAAGCTTTTTTTTTTTTTTTTTCTACAATGTGGTATGATTTTATCATGTTCTGGCATTTGGTAATGACTATTTTTGCTTTTCATAATTTAAACCACTCTAAGACAGACTGACACTTCTAGTTAAAAGAAAACTGACATTTCTTCATTAATCAAATGATGATGGATGGAAATCTACTGAATCATCATTATTTCATCAAGAGCAAAGACATGTCCTAATGTACATGAAATTACTGCAGTGGTCAGTGACTGATTTTAACATCATTGCAGTCTTATAATTAACACACCAAATTAAGAACTAAGACATATCTTGAAGCTCTTAATTAACTCAGTGGCAGAAGCAGTAATGATTTGAGGCTGTATCTGTGCATTACTTATGTATTATTTTTAATGGTGGCAATTCTATCTTTGTGGCTATATCCGGCAACACATTTTATTTTGAAAGAATTCCTTATGTATTTTCCTATTTTCTTTTTTTTTTTCACAACATATTCAGCTTTGTGCAGATTTGATGAATATCCATCCTTATAGAAATACCATCAGATAAAAGTTTAGCTTATCCTAAGGAGCAAACAGATTTTAAAAGTATATTCTATGAAAAATCAGATAGTTAAGATCTCGATTATATGATGGGACAGGAGTCTCCTTCTTCTTTCCCTTATGCATTCTCCATTCTCCTGTGCACACTTAGTGGAATGGCATTGTGCCATTACTTTCCTCCTGGATGCATAATATTTCAATAAAAAGAGGCAAGAACTCCCACTCTCAAAATTTGCTATACAGGAGATGTGGATCTCATGAACCTCTGTTCAGATTAGATCTAAAATAATGTCTTCTCAATTATGGTAGAAAAACTCTAGTCACCAGTGTATTTTGCAAAATGTGGGACTTCCATTACTATCTTCTTTCCTTTTTTAAAAGTTGATTATGTTCCATCTGACACTGTGGTGGATTGGAACCCAAATGAGTATATACTCCCAGTGTTACTCTTTGTTCTTTGCGTGACTTGAATTTGATAGGCCAAGTTGGCATCTGAAGGTCTTCAGAAATATAAACAGGCAACTTAAGTATTTGCTTTGGGAAGATCCCACAGGAAGAGATGGCTAATAAATATACAGACACTACATTAATTTAGTGCCTCAGGCACTGCATTGCAAAAAGCTTCCCTTAGATGAAATTTCACAATACAGTTGCAGAAAGGGAACATGCTGTTACTGAGCTAACTATCTAGATGTTTCGCAAAGCTTTCTGTGTATACAGAGAGAAATCCAGCTAAAATCCAAACCTTTCTGCTCTTCTTTTTCCTGCCTATGAGCTTAACAAATAAAGAAAATCAAATGTTGCTGTGTAAATTAGGTAGCTTATGCTTGACAAATCCGTAGTAGGAAAATGAAAAGATAGTGACATTCAATTCCACCAATGTAAACTAATGATAAAGTAAAGGAGTCATTTATAGTGTTTGAAACAGGCTTATAAATGATGTTGAAAATGCAATGAAGCTCAAGTCTGGAGCTCAGCTCATTGTACAGAATTATCTAGTGAGTCTGTGGTTCAGGAATCAGCTTCCAAATTAACCTTAGAAATGAGATTATACAAATACAAAGAAAGGACTTCCTTATTTGGATTCATTGGTTTTGGGTGCTGAAAAAAATAGGAATGATTAGTTAAAAAAAGGATAAGGTCAGCAACAGAAACAGCACAGAAGTATGGTCAGGAGAGGAAGTGGAAGTAGATAAAGGATGATGGAATCAAAGTAAATTATAATCTGAAGATTAAAGACAAGAAGTGATAATAATGAGATGTGAAGGGTTAGAACAACAGAATAAAGGCCATCTGAAGGTCTGAGGTGCTCTCTGATGGTTTTCTACTTCAAAGGCAACATCCAACAGAAAATACTTTTTATTCTACATTTGTAACCGTGTATTCATGATGTGTAATTGAACTAGCCTAAGTGCAGCTGCTCCTCAAACATGTATAATATGATAATAAAATCTTAGTAAGAAAAGAAAGAATTTGTAGTTTAACAGCATCCAAGTATTATGGTTTGTTAAATACATCTGTAGTAACTATCAGGTCATGTTTTCCAAATAAACAAAAGAAATACATATGCAGGTTCCATAAGCATTGGTAAACACTTATGTCAGCTTCCTTGAGTTATAGTGTCATTACTTGATTGTTCAGAATGGACAGTGTGCTTGACTTAGTAAAGTAACTTAGCTTAAAAAATATCACTGCACACATTTGCAGTATGTAAATTAGAATACAACAGTCAAGAAGGAAAAAAATGATCACTTTCTTCCATGTTATTCAAGACAAACATACTGATGAGCAAAATATATTATTTTAGTAATATCTTCCTTTATCTTCATTTAATATATACTAGCAACCTCAGTATTCACACATTGTTTGCATTTTTAATCTCCACTACTCCAGTATACAGACACTGATCAATAATAATTTTTCTCCAGGATAAAAGGAGTGCAGTTTACTATATGTTTGCACTGTGAGTTTGCACAGTTACCTTCCTTCTAGTCATAGTCTATAAAGAACTAGCATTTTACATGTGATGACTGTGCAGGGAACACAATTCATACCATGTGTGGTATATATGAAGAATTAATTGGCAGAAAGGAGGCATAAGAAGTTTGTGTTTCCGAAGGAAATATATTCAACATTCTGAGTTGTTGAATGATGGCCAGACACAAGAAAATCCAGCAGGTGAGGTTTGCCAGGAATGGTTGCATCTATGGTGAGCAAAGCAGTCTGCTGGAAGACTCAGTGTTGTTTTCAGTTGAAGGGATCCTGTGAAGATGATGGTTAGTATTTCTGTCAGGAAAAGATAGAGATAAGTTGTGTACAGAAGCAGAAGAGCCTTTGGGGTAAGACTGTAAAAGCAATAGGCTTCAAAGTAGTTATTAAGAGAATCAAAACAAGTAGGAAAGAGTATCAAGACAAGATGGTGAGGTGCTAGAACAGGCTGCCCAGAGAGGTTGTGGATGCTCCATCCCTGCAGATGTTCAAAGTCAGTTTGGATGGGGCCCTGGGGCAGCCTGGTCTAGTGCCAGATCTGGAGGTTGGTGGCCCTGCCTGTGGCAGGGAAGTTGGAGCTTGATGGTCGTTGGGTTCCTTTCCAACCCAAGTCATTCCATGATTCTGTGAAGATATGTGGACTGCTTCAAAAGTAATGACTCCTATTTTATTATTTAAAAAAAAAAAAAAAATCAACAACAACAAAAAAACAATTTTTAGAGTCAGTAAGACTGGCATTCAACATTTCTGTAGTAAAAAAACAAAAAAGCTTCTAGTGAAAATAGTTGAAGATAAATCACAGGGTATTGCTTGCACTGAAGCCTCTAAATGTGGACGTTACAATGGAAAATACTTTCTAGGACAAATTAACATATCTGTTATCATGTATTCAGACACCTATAATTGAAACTTTACAACCACACATTTTATTCTGAGCTCCGTTCAAGTGTAGAAGACTTCATCTTTTTTTGCAGTAAGGCAAATACAGACTTATCATTGCTCAGTACATTACATTCACATCCAATCTCCCAAATACAACAGTCTCCATCAGCTCCCTCTCTTCAACATACACACACACGCACACACACACACAGAAACTTCTCAGAACTCTCTGTATATATCTGGGAGATCGTTTTATCTTCTGGTGTTCAGATTTGGCAATTTTTCATCCCAGACTCTCTTCAGTAGAATTGTAGATCTCAGAGGAATACAAATGCAGAACTCAGGAATTTTACAAGTATTTTCAGGTCTATGTCTGCTGGGACACAGGAGACTGACTTGGGAGTTGAATTTTACTTTTTCTGTTAGATATATAAGATTTCCTAAAATATTGTATTCCTTAATTTCAAAGCTTTTCAGTCACAGAATAGAGAATACGGATACTTACATTTTCAATTTTTGAAGAAAGATATGTGGACATTGTATTTCTCCCAAAACCATGAATTCAACATACATAAAGGAAATAAAAAATAAACCTACAAATAAATAAAAAAATAAACCCTACATTATTTTGATTTTTAAAATATTATTTTTTATAAACACATTTCATATATGAAGAGTGCTCTGAAAGTAATGCCTCCTATTTTATGTTGGCCCATCATGTCTGAAGTGTATGTTGGTGGTATCGCAGTAGAGTTTGAACCTTCCCAACATTTTTCCATTACCTGTTCTTGCCGTGCAACAGATGGCAGCAAAGGAGTAGTCTGACAAAATGACATCTGACATGGAAGTGTGGATGAAGCAAAAATATGTCACTGAATTCCTCCATGAGGAAAAAATTGCACCCATACTTGCTGAACACTTATGGACAACTAACAGTGGATCTGAGCACTGTGAGGTGATGGGTAGTGCATTTCAACAGTGACAACAGCAATGTGAAAGACAAACCATGTTTCAGATAACCATACATAGCTGTCACACCGCAAAATGAAGAGCATCTCTACCAGCTCATTAATGTGAATCAGCATATTATGACCAGGAAAATGTGTATGGAGCTGAAAGTCTATTTCAGTGCATTGGAAACAATGATAGCAATGTTACATCATGAAATATGCTCCATGTGGGTTCCACAAATGCTCACACAGGAAGAAAAAGAACACTGTATACAAGTTTGTCAGTTCCACTACCACCCAGAGTTAAAGAAGCAGTTAAAATAGAGGGGCAATGTGTCAGTCCCCTGTTGAATTAAAAGTTCAAGATGCAGACTTCAGCAGGTAAAGGGCTCTGCACTGTCTTTTGGGATAGGAAATGGGTGATTCTTCTGAATTTCCTGAAACGCTGACAAAGCATGATCTCTGACTACATCACAATGCTGACTAAACTGAAGGGTCAGAGTGAAAGAACAAAACAGAGCCAAGGAAGAAGACAACCCTTGCAACATGATAAAGGCTAGTCGCATACCAATTTAAGAACTGCGGAGCACAGTGCTAATCTTGGATGGACTGTCCTACCACACCTACTGTGTAGTCTAGATTTGGTGCCTTCTAACTTTGGTTTATTTGAGCAGATGAGAGATGATCTGTGGGGGCAATATATTCCTACCAGTGTAGTCATCATAGCAGTAGTGGGTCTCTTCTGCTGGTGCAGATATTTATGAGTACAGCATGCAAATGCTGTTTCATCACTGGTGAAAATACATGGCTAATGGTGGTGACTATATTAAAAAATAGTGTTCTGTAGCTGAGAATTTGCTTATCAAGCAGCATTATAGTGTTGTTTGTATCTGTTGTAGTTTCCATGGAAATAAATAACAGCATTACTTTCAGAGCCTCTGCTCAAGTTTCCTTCAAGAGCATCTCTCCATGTCCCCCCAAGAACCTTTCCTTCCCTTTGTTTCCCTCAGAGCCTCTCCTACACCTTTCCAAGTGTCTTATCCTGTCTTCTCCCAAGAGTATCTCATCTGTGTCTCTTGCCCCTAGCAGATGCTGTTCTTGTTTAAACACCTGTGAGCTAGAGCCCACGGGCTCCTCTGCCTGGCAGTAAAACTAACCTCTACACAGGTCACCCTGTGGAGGTGGAAACTGGCAGCATGAAAGAGGAAACTGGTGCAACATGGCTGTCTGCAAGAATGATTCACAGTGAAGGACCACTGTGGGCTATGTGGAAGAACAGTGCAGCAAGCAATCCCAGCACACAGGGCTAAATGAGGCTATGTTGGTTTTGTACAGGGTGGCAGGAGCATCTGTACAGTACAGAAGGATTCTCTTGCTGTCTGACATGCAGTGTATACTGATAGTCTGCTCTAACCAATGTATTGTTTGGAAGCATAAACACCTTATACCTCCTCTATGCTGACTGACTCTTCATGTACACAAACCATGTTTTGAACTACACTCACTGTGAAGAAATCATTAGTTCTGTGTATTACTAACACAGCTTAGTGTATTTTCTGAAACAAATCCATATAATCAATTTAGTCTGTTTTCTGCATGTAATACCCATTAGCAGGCTGACAATATTTAAATGGAGTTTGATTTCTGTTGTTATGATTATTATTTAAAAAAAATAAATAGATTTGTTTCCTGCATGGATCGGTATTCAGAGTTTTAAATTCATTCCCCAGCATAGGTCAGATAAAATTGCACATCATTGTTCGTGTTTGGATGAGCGTGGAAGCAATTCTGTAAAAAATCCCTCTGTGTGCCAATCAGTTTGTGAAAACACTTCTGACTGAAATTTGCTTGTGTGTATGATTCTGCCAGCTAAATTTGATTGCCAGAAGATACTCAAGTTAGTTAAGAGACACAAGCAGAGGTAAAGAAAAATCATCTACAAATGTGAATATTCATGCAATTTGAGTATTCTCTTCCCTGTAATTACAATTAAAAAAAAAAAAAAAAAAAAAAAAAAGTGTACTGCATTTAAAGAGGCTTTTTTTTCTCTCTCTCTTTTTTTTTTTTTTTCAGAGGAGAGAAAACTGGGTAGGCATCACTTATTTTTCTCTGTATGTATATTCACCAATCAGAACTGCTTTATCCAGCATGAGTCTGACTTTAGTGAGAGATGTTTGTTTTTCAGTAACTTCTGCAAATCAATTTACTTAATTAAATTCCTAACATAGCCTATTTGGGTAGGATTCAATCTGAGATTAAGACATCTACATTTAGGGGTTTGTTTCTACTGCCTAAACACAGATATGTATGCAGTTTCGAAGATCAGTCATATCCTGCCTAGACTCTAAAGGGTACTTCAGAAGGGCATCAGTCTCTCCCATAGGTTCTGAGTCATATCTGTCTGCCCTGTGCAGATGTCTTGAGTCCTCCAGAGCTTCTGAAACTGAGCTAAAACCTACATTTAGGCAACTGAAATGAGCCCTTACGACAGAAAGCTGAATTCCTCCAAATATTTTGAGTATCTCCACAAATGAGACTCTGTTGTCTACATATAGATACCCAGTGCCATTTGAAACACTTTAGGACATTTGAAACATCTGCAAAAAGCTGGCAAAACTTACACAGGACCCACAGAACAAACTAAATGGGACACATCATAATGCAGCTGAACCCTGTTCCATTAGCTTTAATGAAATTTTAGAAGTCTACTGTCATGTAGAAACTTGTGAAGATGCACTTAAATTTGGTTAACTGAAATTCAGACTGAATCCTTCCCCTTTTTCATTCCCATATTTGTTTTAAACATCTCAAAGTCACAATTCTGCAATCTGTTCTGTAAATAATATTAATCATAGAATCATAGAATATCCTGTGTTGGAAGGAACCCACATGGATCACTGAGTTCAACTCCTGACTCAACTCAAGGCCACTCTAAATTCAAGCCATATTTCTGAGAGAATTGTCCAAAAGTTTCTTGAACTCTGGCAGCTTGGGTCCCTGACCACTGCCTTGGGGGCCCTGTTCCAGCATCTGACCACACCTGTCAGAGTACAACCTGAAGTTTACCCTGGATTTTGTTTACACCATTTCACATCCACAGAAAAGTTCCCTCAAACATTATATATGTTCATATTGAGACTAATTTTTCTGTATTGAGTAAAGAGTTTATACTTTTGTACAGAATACCAAGACATTAGTATTGAATCTGTGTTCATGGTGAGATAATCTATTCACATCATTCCACAATTTTTTGGAAGTTGTATGTTTTGACCTATTTTCCTGCATTACCTTGCCTTTAGCAGAAGTTACCTGGCAGACTACAAACACCTGCTTGGTGTTTGTACCTTCACTTCCAAGGGGTTTATTCTAGCCCTGAGGTACCAAACAACGTTGAAAGGCAGCTAATGCTTAGCTATTATTAGTTAGCTGGAGGGAACACTCAAGATTTCTGCCAGAGGGATGGCTGGGTTTTGTTTTGTTTTGTTTTAATTGAAATATCCTATATCTGCTTTTGTATGAGAACAATTTAAAGAGCAGAAAAGAATTTAATTAAACTGCCATACAACACAGGGCAGTGATGTACAGTGTTGTTCTCAGACAAGGTTTGAATTTCAGCTTGCTATTGAACTAAACTTATTGAGCATACATGCACATATATTTGCTTATACCACAGTTTCTGTCTAGAATAAGCTAAATAAGTTTCTAGGATGACAGAACAAGGTAAGCATTTGCTCATATTTGCCTTCTCCAAGAAGTATGGGTACTTATTAAAGTCTCTTGGCACTATTTGTTCCAGCCTTAATCTGAGCACAGGCATAACAGAAGATAGCAAACTATAAAATCAGGAATGACAAAAGCGATTCTAGGAACCGCAGCCAGAAAGAGATTAAATTAATGCTGTCTACATGTTTGAGAAGGAAGCCAGCAGTCTTACTTCTGAGTAACAGCATCACATGCCTTTTCTTTCACAGTTCTGTTACATTAGTTGAAATGCATTGTATTTTTATTAACATTACAATTATAGACTCATCATTCCAGACTATGTTCCAGTGGCTGCAGTAATTGGAAAGTTCCTTATGTATATAACATTTACAGTTGGTACTAGTATGGACTTAAAGAAGGAAGCAGAAATAAGTTTGTAGACCTATATATCTCTGTCTAAAACTGCTTTGCTTTTTGATCAAAGTCTCTAGTGCTGGTTTTTCTAATTTTTTTGTGCAGAAGGATCATAAGATGCTCAAATGAGATTTCTGGGCAAGGCACACTTCCAGAATTCATTGATAGCTTTGCAGCCCACTCCATCCCTTGTTAGTTTGTTCAGTGAGTAGGCAATGAAAAATCTCCT